GAAATACGTTTCTCAAAAGTGCAATTTTTTTTTTTATTTCCAACTCTTGTTTGCTAAACTCCTAGTAGCGACTAGAGGGTAGAACTACAATGTCGTCATTTGTTTCGTTATTTGGTGGTCGGGATTGTTAGTTTCCATGTCGTACTTTTCTCCCTGTGTTTTCTAAAAATGTCCGAAAAACAGATAGACTTCACAGTAACACAATTGTGGAGAAAATATTAATATATTATTATGTTGGTATTTCCTGATTAATAATTGCAACTACTTATTGTATTTTACAAATATTCCAAATTCTAGACAAACTGTTAACAAAATAAGGCAATTACCTGTTGGGTACAACATAGCTGTTACCAAGTTCTATAACGTCATAAGTGTATTTCCCGTTTTTCATTTGATAACCAATGAAACTCTGACTTGGTGCATTACTGGGCAACTTGGGCCCGAGCATACCGCACATCTTCCCGATAAGATCCGAGTCTTTGTGTATACCAATATACAGTATATTCCGTTTATTACGTATATTCTTAGTCCATTCAACCCACCACTTTCCCTTATCAGAGAATACTATGCTAGTTATGTTGTCAATCATTTGGATACCAATTTCTCCCTCGTCCGACAGATAATATGAATTGACGACTATTCCATCTATCTGCAGATATCAAGAAAGAAAAAAAAGAAAAAAAATGATTTTGTAAAAATATCAAAAATGGGGGGGGGTCATTCGTTAAATAACACCACGTGTCAGATGGTAACCAGGAATTGCTCGAGCTCAATGAAATCTATAACCTGTTCGATCTGAAGAAACGAGGAGCACTGTGCGCCCGTAAAACATCGGATCGTTTACAACAACGCATCCACCATGATTATTTTCATTGAGAAAATCATTCCACTAAGGACTGTCGTTTGTCTATGTGTGACTGAAATATACACACATGCCCGACATGATATACCAAGCGTCTGGAGTTGAACACATCAGGAAGGGTGGTGTATATTCGCCGATAATATTTATACTCGTTAATATATATCTGCGCACACTCATATATAATAGATAACAGCAAATTTAGTTAATAACTATGCAAACGATAAAAAAACGTGGTATACATACAGTTATTTGACCATCATCAGCCAGGTTGATCTTGTGATTATTAGTTGTTATATCTGCGCTCTCAATTCGGCGAGCATCGGGATTTGAGAGCGTGTTGACCACTTCACCATGCTTTGATATCACTTTCAAATAATAGGGAGAATCTTTACAAGTCTCGGCCAGAACGTAACTACATTTACCATTAAATTCGAGGTGATATTTGTCAAAAGTTACGTAATGAGGATCACCCTGACCGGTACCTGGATCGCATGGACAATCTGTGAGGATAAAGGTAAAATCCAATCTGAGTAGTTGAGATGTGTAACATACAGTGCGTGATGACTCCTTGTAATCGAGTTAGTATCGAGTTGACATTGATGTGTACGGGTTCAGAACATAAAGCATGTGACACGGAGTAGTAAAATATATTCTACGGACTGCTCTTCTATTAAACACGCCCGCAAAATAACTGCGTAGTACTGACGTCATTGGCTGTTGTTCTGCCCTACGTCTTCAAGTACTAGACAATAGTATTGTTATGTTTCATTCTGTTAAAAGTGAATCAAGGCTTACTAGTAGGCGATATCTGGTCACATGCTGACTATTAAAACTATTAATTATTTACTATTATTATTTTTAAATCTCAGCGTTTAGTGTTTCTTCTAGTGAGATGCATTTAATTAGTTGTTGTTAAACAGCTTGTCACCTGATGAAATGTTTATGAACCGGCATAACCAGCATCTTTAAAAGTCGTTACCGATGTCCTTATACAACGAATTGCATATTTGTATTCGAATTGGTGAATTTGGTTGTTACTTGTACATGTCGATTTGTGACCGTGTATGTGGTATCTTGAAACCTTACATAGGTTTTCAGCATGTACTGAACCAACAAAAATGAAAAAAAAATCACGAAGATAATATACCTGTTTCTATTGTGATGTTTCCCATTTTTGTCAGACCGTCCGGCCGTTCCAAAATAGTCTCTATGTACACCGTTGTACATGGGTCGTACGGTCCCTAATGTGACGGTGAATGTTACGGATCCAGCGAAGGAAAACATCAAGTTCTTATTCACAGTTACCCATGTATCGGGAGGGTTTAGTGGGTCGGTGTAGTACCTTAGATTCATCCACGCATCTACAAATTTACCGGAGAATTCCATAGCCCAAAATGCAACATACTCGCAAGTCGCAAACACCAGGTACGCTATCACAGTGCCTAAAAGAGAAGACAATATATTAGTACATCATATGTAAAGCATGTCCCCCCCCCAAATATACTTTCATATTGCTTTTCTAGTTATTTTGATATAATGTTGGTCAGATATTTATGCAAGAAGATTTATATTATATTGAGTGTGATTAATATAGCAGATGACTATAGTGTAACGTATGCGCATGTCCGTCTAGATAGGTTCGCGCTTATTACAGACTATTTCGAAGCGTTGTCATACATGGTGTATCGAAAGATGTGCGTCTGATTACAGTTGCGAGACGCTTTGGTTTGTTTGTTTGTTTGTTTGTTCGTATTTCTCATGAATAGTAGATGTACATCTATGGTGAGCACATATTTCATGACCACGGGGAAACTAGTATACGTCTATTTAATTTTCCCGAGTAACTGCGGGTATCAAAAGTACCTGCTATTCCACGCGGTCGTGAACATATACAAAATGTTAAGAATTCAAATGTGCATTTCTTTGAGTAATGTGTTATAATACTAAATATTTATATATGTATATTGTCATTCGGGAATTGCATACTATTTAAACAACCCGTTTAAAGTATGTGTACACTCATATCTTAATCTTCGTATTTTTTTTTTTTTTTTGCTGCTCATACAAATATTTGACATACCTTTTATATTAAGAATCAGCCCATGTTTTAAAAGATGAATTATTGGAACAACAATGAACTATAAGGATGATGTTAACCCCAACTAATCTTTAAATCTAAATACTACGCTCGAGTAGTAATTGCTTATGTGATTTCGTCGTAATTATTTAAAACTCTGCATTGTGAAGAAAAAAAAAGACATGGTGATGAAATGTATACCAACAACTAAAATAAACAGTTGATCTCGAAATTGTGAAATTGGTTTGCAGTTTATGACAAATACATGTGAATGCATTTGCGTGGTTGCATACTCACTGTAACATCTAGTTATACATACTCCCATATATGGCCATGAACACATTTAAAAGCTTGAATATTTAGACCGCATACACGATGAACACGTTTCTAATCAATCAATCAACCAACCAACCAACCAACCAGATGTTGTCAATGTTAGCAACATTATTAAGGAACACGTGCCCGTCATTTGAGAACCTTTGTTTTTTTAAGCTTAATATACAATATAATATACCAAGAGAACAGTATACATACCATCAGGCAGGCCGGGCAACGTTTGACGCTTGGCATTTGTTGGATGTATATCATAACTTTCTAGGAGTTCAATCAGAGGAATTACGGTCACCTATATAGAAATAGACAAATGCATATTATACAGGATGAAGAATAGAAGACCAGTGGGCTGAAAATCTGTTTACAGGCTCCAACTACATCATATATATAGCTGTTTTCCCTGTGATAAAGTTAAAAAAACGCTGCGATAAAGACTTACCGTTTTCGGCATTGTTAAATTTTTGTTTTGTTTTTTTAACAATACAATTTAGAAATATATTAAGAAGAATTTATAGCGAAATCTATGTACCTATGCACCTGAAAATAATTTTCAATATTAGCGATTACATAAAAATATTACAGAAAAAAAAGATAATTTGCTATATTCTGTATATTTTTGTCTTTTATTTGTCTTATGACTGAAAGATGCTGAATGAAATTACAAATTATGTAGTGTGTTGAACAACTCGTGTATGAACGAAAATTGAACGAGCATACATTATAAACTTTGCAAATTAATATATTATATATAATATATTAATTTGCGAAGTTTATATAATATATTAATTTGCGAAGTTTATATAATATATTAATTTGCGAAGTTTATATAA